GGTCGTCAACATGAACGGATAGAGCTGCAGCCACACCGTCAATGGAGCGTGCCTCTTGAGCCCGATCTCGGATCTTGTCTGGTAAGTCAGCGCACGTCCAGTAGACGAAGTTCTTGTCCCACAGACTCACCCTAGCACGAAGAACGTCCAACGGGCACAACGTCAGGGCAACTTGCCAGAGGTGGGGCGCGTCAACCAGTCCATAGATGGGATTAAGCAACTCCAATACAAACAGCTCAACGCCCCATTCTTTCACGCGAATGCCGCTGCGTGGTAGCTTGTCCAGCAATCGCCAGACATTCGGCGGAGGAGCCAGAAACACCTTTCGCACCGTCTCACAGTTGATCTTCAGCTCCTTCGCTCGACGCCAGATCTCATCAAAGCTCAGGCCCTGCAAGAATGCCGCGCTGATGTCCCAGCTCTCGAGCTCGAAGCCCTCGTGCACTTGAGCGGTCGAGACGATGAGCTTTTGGCTCAACCTGCTCGCCGTGCTCGAATGTCGCTGGATCTCGTGCTTCTGCTTCTCCAGGAAGCCGCGTCCACGCAGCCTGCTCTTGACGATCCACTCTGTCAGCTTCGCGTCATATTTCCATTTCCTGACCCGCATCGCATCCATGACACTGCTGCTTCCCATCGAGCGTCTCGCCTGGCACGCGAAGACTTTGTGGTCAACAAAGGCACTCAGCTCCTTGAGGTCTGCCTCTTCTACTCTCTGCCAGTGGGTCAGGACGTCCTCCTCGTTCAGGTTGTCAGTCTCCTCGACGCTGACGTGGCTCTGAATTTCGCCGGTGCGCATACAGAACAAGAAGCAACAACTTTGCCTCCATCGCCCCTCGATCGTCCACAGGGCCTGCGAAGAACTCCAGGGAAGTTCGCCATTCTGGATGCTCATCAAGTAGGAGTGCGTCTCTGCATGATCCTCGAGAAGGTTGGAAATAACATCGTCCATGTATGATTCCTTCAGCTTGTTGATCATGTCCTCTTCGCCGCTGCGCCAATTGATGGCGCCGTTGAGAGTATTGTGGCGAGCGAAGAGATCTCCATCTTGCATCGGAATATGGTCGTCCGTCTGCGTGTCCTCCTCAGCCTGGTCTATGATGTCGCCAAGCTCCCTCTCCAGGTCACCTGTGGTGTTCTGCTCAGGTGCCGGCACCAGCTGCTCAGGAGGTGCTCGATCTTGCACATGAGTGAGATCTTCAGCAACCTCGGGAACTTGAGCGGCCGGTGCCTGCTGATCTGCCAGCGGATGTGGTTCATGATGTTCCAAATCGTCAATCCGCTGGCGAGGATATCTTGGCCCCAAGCTGAGTGCGCTCGTCTCTGCCACGTCTCGGCGAGAACGCTTGTCGTGAACTGCACTGTCGTCCATAACCGCATCGCTCGCTTGACCTGCCTGCTCGTCTGCTCCTGGCGCTGGCATGATGTGTATCGATCTCGATCGGTCTCTGGCAGCGTCGTCAGGTGGAGCCTGTGCTGCTCTCACGTCCCAGTCGCGCTGCATCATGTCGCTCAACTCACCCGCGAGGCCCACATCGTCGGCCTCGGGTGCCGGCAGTGGAGCCGGGGCCGGTTGTACTGGAGCAGGTTGTGCTGGAGCTGGTTGTGGTTGTGCCTGATGAGCTGGAGCAGCCAGAGGGTCTCGCTCTTCCATCATTCTGCTCAGCTCTCTTTCCAGATTGCTGTTGTCCAAACTCAGATCATGATCAGATTCGTCAGGTACTGGGTGCATTCGAATGTCTTCGTTTTCTGCCACTGGAGCTATCGGTTGCGCCTGTGATGCTGGCTCAGCTTGCTGTGGTGCCGTATCCAGTCGCACAGCAAGTGGATCCTCCTGCGGCTGAGGCGGTGGCTCAGCAGGTGGAGGAAGAGGAGGCCCCGTGAGAGTCTCCTTCAATCTGCTTCTCTCGGCAGGTGGCACAGCCGCTGTAGCATCTATCCAGTCGCCCAGGTCAGGCAATAAGCTGATCATGTCCGCCACATCGCGATCCACATCTCGAATGCTGTCAGGTGCCACTTCGATGCGAGAAAGATCTTCCACGTCTGGTACTCTGTGCTCGTCCAAGAAGGGGTCGACCAGAGCTGGCATCGAATGGAACATCAGAAAGGAGGTGTTCTCCCATTTGAGAGTCGACAAACTGTTAATGATCACACACTTGTTCGGGTCCACTTCGAAGGTGAAATAATTAGTGTGGTCCTTTCTTCCCCACAGCGTAAGCAAACCAAACTTGACACCGAACAATGATGGGATCCGCCGCAGCGATGTGCCATATATAACGCCGTCGATACCTTTCAGCTGGAAGGTGGTCTTGTGTGTGATCATGCGCAACTTCCAGGGCTGAAAGTTCACCAAAATTTGGATATCTGGCGTGCATTTCGTCTGTCCATCTTGGCCAACCGTCTTGCCGAGTCGTGTCACTTGTCCGTAGATGCTGCCGTCGACAATGTCCATCAGCCCCCTGAAAGTGTCGAGGTTTCTGTCGCCCTCGAGAGTCGGGGCTGAGGATTGAAAAGCCAAGAATCCGATCAGATGTTTGCGCGCATGCCTCACAGGAAGTATATACGGTATTCCATTCCAAACGATGATGGCCGTGCCCTCTGAGATCTTCGCCAACTCCGCCGGGCCGCGCCAGCCCGACTGGTCCTTCCGCTCGGGAACCCTGTAAATGTCCACGCCGTCA